GTCTCATCTTAGTAAACTTCTTTTGTGATTTTATTTATGATTTTTCAATCAGGTTTGTCAAAGGACCTCAACCTGGTCGAGATACAGGATTTGACATCGATGAGGCTGACCTTCTTGAAATGAAACAGTGTCGTGGGATAGTTGTTGCTTCAGCTGTATTTGGTAGTGCTTCGCATGATACGTTTATATATGTAATTAACCACCTCCAGTCATTTTGCCAATGTTTGTGTGTTTCTAAGAAAGAATCTCTTTTTTTTCCCCAGATGCTTTTGATGATGTAAAAGCCCCACAAAATATCAGTAAATATTCGGAGGAAACAGTTTGCTTCTACATGTTTGTTGATGAAGAAACTGAAGCAATTTTGAAGAAAGAACGAGGCCTTGACGGCAACAAGAAAGTAGGGATATGGAGAGTTGTTGTTGTTCATAATCTCCCTTATTCAGATGGAAGGCGCAATGGAAAGGTAAATTCACCTCTCTTATCTTTTGAATAAGAAAGTTTGTGGACAAAACTATGCATTAAGTTGGTCCAAACTGAAACATGAACTTATTGACATGCTACAAATTTTCCCTTTTTATTACAATTTTCCTCCAAAAGAACTGTATCCAAACTGGTGTAAAAAACAGCCTTTTTGCCTTAGATCAGGCTTGAAGTTGCTTACTACTAACTGGAGAGTATACAATTCTTCTTAGAAACCCAAGAAAATAGGATTTTGAGTTTACAACATTTATCTCGGTTTATATGACTGATTCCAAAATGGACAGAGTAAAGAGACAGATAAATGCCATTTATATGCTGATGCCTTGTTCTCTTGTAGGTGCCAAAGCTTCTTGTCCATAGACTGTTTCCAAATGCTCGCTATTCTTTATGGATTGACGGAAAACTTGAGCTTGTCGTTGATCCATATCAAATTCTTGAGAGGTAAGAGGTTTATCATTTTCCTTCTAGAAGATCATCTCAAGATATCTCTAGCTGTATGGTATGTGTAGTATTCCCATTATTCTATAGGAACCATCTTCAAATGCTGTTGACTAGGAAATTATCATTTAGCATCTTGCATTTACCAAATACCAAACACGCCCCTAATCACATTAGTGAATTCTTATGGTAGGAATCTACTAGTTCCGTTGTTCTGCTAGTTCCACCCCTTTTTTTGGTTTAGATGAATTTCCTGAAGCAGCTAGCGCATTGTGTTTAACATCCCAGTAACATTTGAGTTTATAACGCCTTAGGCTTGGTGGTTCTGTTTTTGGCTGCAACATTTTGACTGGCATCTCTTTTCTTCAGGTTCTTGTGGAGGAAAAATGCTACTTTTGCAATCTCTAGACATTACAAACGATTTGATGTCTTAGTGGAAGCCGAAGCAAATAAAGCTGCTGGTAAATATGATAACGCCTCTATCGACTTTCAAGTGGCTTTCTACAAGAATGAAGGGTTAACACCTTATTCTGTTGCAAAGCTCCCAATCACAAGCGGTATGATTCTTTCCCTTACTCCATCGAAAAAATCCGGTTTTGGCATCAAAAGTTTAATATATACACAATTTTGTGGTCGGGCTTTGCAGACGTACCTGAGGGCTGTGTCATTTTAAGAGAGCATGTTCCCATCAGCAACCTCTTCACTTGTCTTTGGTTCAACGAAGTCGACCGATTCACTTCTAGAGATCAAATCAGTTTCTCAACAGTAAGAGACAAGATTGCAGAAAAAACAAACTGGACAGTAAGCATGTTCCTTGACTGCGAAAGACGCAACTTTGTAGTTCAGGTGATTTCTTCTTTTCATGTCGACTTAGCCTATAGGTATAAGATCTTGAATTTATCATAATCCGTTTTATCGAACACTCAAACGCAGAGATATCATCGAGCAGAACAAGAAAGATTTGCAAGGCAACGACCTCCGATACCTGATTTTTCTCCTCCGCCACCTTCACTGCCCCCACCGGCCTTAATCAGCAGGGATTTGCCTAGAAAAGTTTCAAGTGGAAAAGCGGTTAGCACAACGCCGCCAAGAAGGCGTGGAAGAGACAGACGGTCCGGTTCAAGGGGTCACAGGAAAGCTAATTTGCCTGTTAGATTACCAGATTCAGCTTTGAACTGAAAGATTCAAAACCCCTTGCAAAGAGTTGGGTTCTTCTTCTTCTTCAAAATCACTCACTCTCATCAACAACCACACATTCCAATTTTACCACAGTATGTTCTTTTGTTTGTTTCTCTATTGATTCTATGGATTCAAAATCAATTTTTTAATGTATATATACACGAACATTTTGTACTTGGATAATAAATTATAGTTTGAAATTTTGAAGAAAGTTAAATCTTATCCTACCTAAGAGAGTAAAGAGACCACCCCGTGTTTGGTTTAGGGCTTTGATTAGCTTTGAGTTTTTGAAAATAAACATTTAAAGGTTGCAAATGCCCATTTCCGCCATATTTTTGTGTATTAATTCCAAAGCATAAGTCAACATGCTTTTTAATAGTACTAATTAAATAGTTTGATTAACCATAGTCTACAAAAAAGAAACACAAGAACAAAAACTTGCATTTTAGTATCAACTAAATAGTTTGATTAACCAAAACGGACGAACAAAATTTACAAAACAGCAATCACAAGAGCAAAAGAAAATTCTAGACCCAAAGATTCTGCTTACAAGATTGCGAAAGCTGGCCAATCTAATGAATATATCGTCATTTTACTAACTCCAAACAATTTTATGTAAGAAAATGGCTTCCTAACAACATGCATTCATTGCCCAAATCAGTGTTTTTAACTCTTAAGTGAAGAGGGAAAGGCTTCGACATTGTCCTTTGGCCAAATCGAACATTCGTGTTCACATAACACCAAATCGATCCTTTCACGATCCTTCATTCTGACATAGTTTAACATATTCCGTCGACATCAAACATGTTACAGAAACCCGATGTTTAACAATATGTCGATGTTCAAGTGTTGTTTGTGCCTCCTACCATGTTTGAAGCCTCACTCGTCGCATGTTTTAAAATATATGTAGTGTGCTAGTTTCATTAAAGACTTTATCATTCCGTATTCCATAGAAATCATAGGATTCACTCATTCATATTGATAACGGAGGAAACACATATGGGGCCGAAGGTATATCCGATAGAAAACCATGGTTGATGGTTTCTTCTTCCGCTTCACATCTCGAGCATTGAGTGTCACAATCAACATTTCTTTGAGAATTCAACCTAGCTAGATTTACCGCTAAACATCTCGATGTCACTTGTCACATGCCCAAAAAATGTTAATCTTTGAAGTCCCTCATATTTTTTTTATGATTGTGATTGCAAACATTCCCTCTATGATATTATATGGATCTTTTAAATAGCATTAATCTCTAAAATATTAAAAAGTAGTTTTACATAATTATTTTTTTTGTTAAAATTTTATATTTTATTTAAGAGTTACCATTAATAGTCTATTTGTCTACCATTTTCACAATATAATAATTTTAAAAATATAATTTAAATATCAAAATTTATATTGAAACTTATCTTATACAATAAATGTAGATATAATGCAGTAGGAATAAATATATTATATATTTCCTTGTAAATTTATATCTAATCACTCAAAATTCTGCCAATAACTTAATTGTCAACACTAATATAAGAGTTTATTGCTTCACTTCTGATGCTTATCAATCTTGTTCTAATATAAGTTCTACCATTCATGCCTTTTGAATGTTATTGAAGTCTTTTGAGATACCAATTTTCAAGTAAAAATATTAGGGGGGTATGCTCTGAATCTACCAAAATTTATTAATCATACAATTTCTAGAGATAACAGTTTACAGAAGAGCTCTTTTTTTTTTTTTACAGAAGAGCTTGCTCTCTTAACTTCATTATACACTTGCCTGCTCCATGATCTTGAGACATAATCTCAACCTCATTTTCAATCAGTTTCCGACCAGTTTTTTCACAAAAGACATTCCTTCTCTCGTTTTTCCATCGCAATGCTTTCTAAAGAATTATATACATAATGGATTCATCTTTTATCTTTGGATTTGATATCACTTAATCATTTTTTACTCATATTTTCTGATTTTTGTTGTTTTTGCGTCTTCTGTCATGTAATCTTTTTGTGATTTTTTTTTGTTTGACGTAATCTTTTAGTGATTTAAATATTCGAAATTCCTAAAAAAGTATAACATTACTGTGTTTTTAGATATTCACGTGTTTGTTACTTGTAAAAAAGATTTGCTCCTAACGATTAAACCTACAAACGAAAAATTGCCTGGTGTGGTTTGCGTATTGTATTTTTTAAAAAGTAATGTAATTGGTTTCCTACTGGAACAGCGTCCACCGTCAACAATATCATGTGCACATTTTAATAGTGACAGAAGTTTTGTCTCGTCTCATGAAAAGATATTTGTGATTGTGACAAGGTTTCAAAATTTTAGTTGGAACACATAAAGAATTCCCGATAGCTATTAAATATAAAAACAAATAAACATATTAGTCAATTTTAATTGATTTAGAAATCCAATAAATTTATTGTTAGATTATTAAATTTGAATATTTTGTCAAGGCATTTTTTATTTGTTTAATAATTTCTGAATATTAATCAAATCCACTACTCTTCCTATAATGATTTCTGAATATTAATTAAAATCCGTCGCTTTTCTTTTAACAAAATTTTCATTGAAATTTAATAAAAATCTAATCTCACATTGGATTTTAGAACACTGGAATTTTTTTTTTTAAATTAAAAATTACAAAAACTTTAATTTTTATAATCATATATATTATTTTTCTGAACTCATTTTAAAAAAATTAATATGTCTTTTTCTTTTTGTTCATCAAGTTTACTTCATTCATTTAACCGATCAAAGTACAAAGAGAGAGAATTAAGCATCCTCCAACAATAATACAACATAATTGAAATGCAATAAAATCTAAAGCAGATAGATCATCGTAGAAGATGGACAGCGGATCCCAGACAAGTCTCGGATGCGTCGAGAGGGTATTCGCGACAAAGTCAGAGAGTTTCAGGTTAGTCACTTTCAATTGTGACTTTGAAGCTCCCGGCATAAAACTCGGGAATTCGATCGCTCTCCAGGAGAGGGAAGAAGATACGACCATCTCAAAGAGACGGAAGAAGGTGGAATTGAAATCTTCCACCGGGAGTAATTTACAGGATTTGAGAATCCATGAAACTTTGGACTTCTCAATTTTGAGAAGTCATTAGGCTCAAAAGCATGTAAGATTTTAAAAAATCTAATTTTTAATACTATAGGGAGTGGGCCAGATTTCTTGAGCAGAATGCTCTAATTGGGCCTACACTCTATGACCTTTGAAATGCCCATCTTCACTCTCAGCCCAACACTATGAAAAGATGACGGAATTTGTGGCCATCGGCGGCCCAAACGCTTTCCCGGTGGAAACTCCGGTGAGCGGCGGGACTTTCCCGGCGAGAGCCAATACTGGATGGCCGGAGAAGGGGGTTGAGGTTTCAGGCAATTGGGGCGTTGTAGCCACTGTGATGAAACCCTACTACGGCGGAGAGGAGGGGGAGGCGGATGCTGATCTCTACAAAGAGAGACTTCGCCGGTGTGTAAATGGCGGTGCAGGATTTCCTCACGGTGGCGGATTTGGAGGGAGATCCCATGGGGAGCGAGACCATCGCCATTAACGCATCGAGAAAACCACCTAGAACCCGTGCCAATCTGGTCTAGGAAGGTTACCGGCGCAAGACGGTGGTGGAGGACAGAATGGCTGAGCACGCGCGACGGTGCATGGACTGGGTCCGACGGCTCATGTAGAGGAGGTGGCCTCGCCTTTGAACGCTCCGTAATCTCGCAATCTCGAGAGGGTGGAGCGGAGGCCGTAGGTCGGAGCAGAGCCAAGGGCTCCACTAGAGCCATCACGGGGGGTGGGAGAGATGGAGCTCGGATGAATGCTTCTTTCCGGTGAAAAAACACACCGGCGAGTGACAAGGGAGACCTCTTCTTAGCGCAGATCGGACGAAACACCACGGTGATATAGATGCCTCCGGCGGCTGCCTCGAGACCAGGGACAAGAGAGTTTCTCTCTCTATTGCAAATTAATATGTCTGGTTTAAGAAAATCAGTAATTTTTAAAAAAAATTCTACATACATTTGTAAATCAGTTAAAAATATACTATTAACAGCAAAATGGGACTGATTCATTGGAAAAATCAGTACCCAATCAAATTGTGTTGTGATTTTAATTGTATATATCTATATTTTTTTACAAAATTTAATTTAAGGTCTTGTGCGTGCGTATGCACCAATCATCTGTTCCACTAGACGGCCTTGAATTTGTGATATCTCCTTGCATGCATTTATGTCAACGAATATGTCAATTTGTTGCATTTTTCTTTATGGGCCATGACTATAGGTTATGTCATAAAGAGACTCGATTGTATTATTTGAATTATCTCTTTACTGGTCCATGATTTTAGGTTTAATCATAAAGAGAAATCAACTTGTTGGTAGTGTAATCAATATTGAGCAAGTCTTTTTAATTCGTTAATAAAATTTCTCTTTTGTTTTTTTACGTACACACATGTAATGCATTATGCATGTGACTCACAGTACATATAGGGTCAAAATCATTAGCGTTATGGTTATCAGGTCTGGAAAAAGAAAAAAAGCGAGCGTTGAAATATATGTAGTCGAAGAATGTTATCTCAAACTTTCATAAGTCACTTTTTATTGGCTTATTAGCACTAACATTTTTGAGTTGGCCTTAAAGCTCTCTACAATATGACAAGCTTATACGTCCAATCATTACAGAAAAATAACTCCCATAAAATTTCTATAATGTTGTCTAGTCCTTTTTTCTTCTGACAATAAAAAATAAGGGTCGTTTACAATATGAGGCACTTTTTTTAACTTTTCATAACATTATAGACACTTTGAGAATCTGTAGACATTTTTTAATGTTTGAGGTGCAAAAATTCCGAATTTACCCTTAGTTACTTTTTGCCTCTTTCGATCTGTTCTTTTTTCTTTTATAAAAAGTTCAA